TTCCATTAAATATATCCCAGAAGGATCCCATTTTCAGTGACCCACAAATGCCTCCACTGGGCACCAGGCACTGCGCGGTGGAAGGAGACCTTGGAAGCATTTCCTTGGGGTTTAGTGTCTTTCAAGCTGAGGGCATGAAATGGACTTGATCTGAACACAGAAGAGGGCTGCCTCCCTGCCTGCCGGGTCATTTGGAGCCTGCTGGATGCACAGCCTGCTCTTTGCCAGCACGGGAGAAACTCAGCCATGGATACAGCCATGACATTTGCTGTTGAAGTTGGTGTGAAGCTCCATACCTGCCCAGACAGCCCATTGACCCCAATTATTAATGCAGCCCAGAACTTGGCCACTAGAAGGTGGACAATAATCTAAATGCCAAAAATATCCCCCTCTCCCTCCAAATTTAAAAGAAAAGGGACAGTAGCCACTCCCTGCCAGCTTCCCCTGGTGGATCCCCATCAGCTGTGACGCATGAGGTCAGCAGTGCCAGCTCTCACCAGCACTGACCCATACGTTCCCAGTAAGGTGCATGTCTGCAGGGTGCTGCCAGGGGGCAAAGAAGCTTCCTGGGACATGGTCAGAGCCTCTTGTACTGCCCTGCTGGGGTGCTTGTGGAGGAAGCTATAGTACACGAAGAAAGAAACTCAAGTGGAGTTGCTAAAAATTAAGAGTTGTGATAGCCAACAGCTGTCTGGACTGCTTTGGGTCTGGGTAGGAGGGGGACAACGCAGGACGGGGCTGAGAATCATTTTGGTGCAACTGCCTGTGTTGCCCAACACCAGTTCAAGGTGGGGACGGGGGAAAGATGATGGCTGCTTTCAGAAAAGAGTGAAAGGAGGACGTATGCAATATAACAAGGCTTGCAATTCTAGAACTAACCATTGTACATAGATACCAAAGTTTACCTGTGACAACTACTTATACTTCTATCACTGCTGCTGCTTTCCTCGCTTCCTTGCCTAACCCTTCCGTAGTTTGGGAAGCTGTAGCTGTTGGTGTGATGGTCAGCTCTGGCTCTCCCTCCATGAGCCCACACAGCACACAAAGGGACTCAGCCGCAGGATGCACTGAAGTCTGGAAGTCGCACGTTAGACACGGAGCAGCTCTACATGCCAGTGGCGTCTACTTTCAGAACCTTTCAGAAAACTATTTTATAGTGGTTCATTCCCTTTGTTATTAAACTGAAGGTTCAGTAGCCCCCGCAGAAGGATTTTAAATGGTTATAAATGTGCATAAGGGGAGGAAGGGGAATATCTTTCTGGATTTTCTCCCCTGCAAAAACTCTGTCCTCCACTAGAGCCATTCTCCCTGCAGACCTGCATCCATACCAGCATTTGCGTCATAGCAGACAAGGGAACCACTGAGAGATGTCCCAGCTGTGCCTCCTCTGGGTGTCAGGCTCATGCAGGGATCTTGAGTCCCAGACCCTAGCAGGGTGATGGTGGCTCACACCAAGGTTTTCAAATCACCTGGGTGACCCTCAGCCCTACAGTCTTCTTCTGGGCTGCTCAGGAGGGCAAAGGGAAATCCCGGCTGTCTCACTGGCTCTCCCACCATCACACTTGCTGCATCTCCTGCTGGGCTGCTGTGAGGAGAGCTGGCAGTGGTTTTCCACCTCTCCATGGGTCTGTATCACATCACAGCTTACTGGAGACCGCACCTGGGGCAGGTAAATGGGCAGACAGGGGAGGGCAAACACCTCAATAAGTAACAGGACTTATCTCAGCACAGCCTTTCAGTGGCTCTTCTTCTCCCAGTGCTTACTGCTCTGCTTCCAATAACACATCTGAAAGTAACATTTTAATAAGGCTTCAATTGTACCTTCCACTCCCAGATAAATTCCACTACTCCTCTCATCACTTGTTGCTGTGGAAATGGCTGTTTCACAGACTGGGTGCAATCAGCAAGATGTGTTCTTTCCAGAAGCACATGCATCTTTGGCTGAAGCAGCTTTTCACAGAAAGGCTCAAACCCACCACCAGTTTCTGCTGGCAATTTGGCCTGGGAAGCAATGGAAAAAGTTGCTCTCTATGGGTGCCAGGGAAAGCTGCAGTCTGTCCTGGTGTGTGTGTGTGTTCTGCTCTGTGCCATGGCACTCTGCATGTCCTGCTCCACGTAACCTCAGTTAGCCCTGGCCCTTGCCTTCCCAACAAGCTGCCAGAGGAGTGCTCAGCCAGACAGCATCTACCCACTGTGATCCTGGGACTGCCACCAGTGGACACCTAGAGGACATTCTGACCAACTGTGAAAATCTACTTTCAAGACATGAAAAGCAGAGAGACAGAAGCTGTGAAGAGTCAGTTCTGAAGGATGCCAGAGGCCAAAACCAGGGTACATTCAGGGTGGCATGTGCAGCCTGTGCTTGCTGAGCCCAGCAGCAGCCAGGTGATAAAGCCTGTTCTGGTATAGGTAGGAGAGGCCATACCCCATGTGCGCTTGAAGGAAGAAAGGAAAAAACGGCGAGACCAGACAAATACACCTCATATTGTTACATAAATGCTAAAAATAAAAGCATGAAACTGCCCTGGGAATATCACAAATGAGCATTGTGGTGATCTCTGGCATTCAATTAGAGCTCACTATCTGAGTTGTAAAGCCATCTGTACTTTGAAATCCCTTACCTCTGCTAGCAGGGGATGGTGCTGTTGGGCCACTGAATGTTACTGCACATTCTCTGTCAGCATGCACATTCAGTAGCCAGCTGTGCAAAGGCAAAATAACTGGGAAACATATCTTTGCCAAACATCGTCCCTAAAGCTGTTTAATCTCTCTACTGAACTCCACTCTGCAGCATTGATACACGAATACAACCAGAAGCTGGTAGAAGAAGAGCTGTTTTTTGCAGTATTATGAAAATATGTGTAAAACTTTAATAGCATGCTCCTTGCATCTTGCTTGCAGAGCTAACCTAACAGTGGTGCCCACTGTACAGTCAGTAACATCCATGCAAGGTGGTACTGTCATGGGAAGGCAGATTTCTTTCCAGTGCTACAGAAGAGAATGGATATCTAGAGAGGATGTGACTTGCCTGGGCTAGAGCAAACATCTAACATGCCAAAAGCAGCAAGATCTCATTTCTGTACTCTGATGGTCCAGTAGAGTCTCTGCAGTAGTATTTGGTTGCACTGCCAGCTCAGGGACACGATGTTTTTTGAGTGTGCATCTGAAAGCAAGCTTTGCTCCTTGCTGGTATCAGCACTGTACTGAGACAGATAAGCTTGGACTACTGGGACCTGTCCTAGGCCAAGGCAGCACTTGGCAGCCTTTCCAGTTATTGCTTGTTTTCCTTCTATCATTCCATCTGGTGCTCAGCTGGGACTCTCCTTCCTTCAAAAGCATCTTCATTTTGCTGCTGAGTCACATGCAGGGCGCTGTACTTTTCAAGCTTCCTGTGCACTGTTGTACAGTTTGCAGGCCACCCTCAGGACACATTGCATGGAGAGAGAAGGGTTCTGCTCAGGATTTCAGACCAGTGTGTCAGCCAGCACTCAGCTGAGCAGAGCAGCTGTCTCCTTCTGTGAAAGGAGATGCACAGCCAAACCACAGCAGTTGAGTCTGTCCTGTCCGTGGCTGAGCACAGCATCTAGAAGTCCCTTCTGAAGTCTGTGCTCCAGCCTTGGCCCTCTGCTTTTGCAGTTGCAAGGCATCTGCAGGCAATACGGCCATAGGAAAATAGCAGACTGGAGGGCCAAATGTACACCCTGGGGGCTGACATGCAGTGACATCAGATTTGATCGAGTGTTTCTTCCAAAGGCTGGCTTTGAGATAAGTCTAGTAAGATCAAAGGACCCTTTGGGAGGGTCATCTAGACATCAGCCTTCTTCCAGCTAAAGATTATACAGCCACCAGAAAAACAGACTACATCCTGCTATCCAAAGACTTTCTTTGACACTGGGAGCATAAATAGACATTTGGAAATGGGAAGTTTGCAGACTGGAGAAACAGAGTTGAGTGCTGAGACATTGCAGTCCAAAGACAGCTCATGCTAAAGAGCACAGCTGACATTTAATATGAGGAAACGATTTGCCTAAACTCTAGTAATTTGGAGACTAAAAGTACTTAAAATCCTAGCAAAAAGCTGGTCTGGCTTTAGGAGGCATCAAATTCATTTGTTGTAGGTGCCGGCATCACTATAAAGAAGCTTAATTGCTTGCTAATTTAGATGAACAGTAATGCAACCTTTCATACTCAGTGGCATACCTCCCTCTGGTATTCAGTACATTTTGGACGGAAAATAGGGTCTGAAAAGGCCATCTGGTATGGTGCAAACACTGATGCAAAGCAATGATTCTCTTTCTTGCAAGCAAACTGTAGCTGGGAGAGCACCCAGCATCTTTACAGCTTTTATAGCTTCACAGTGCTGCAGCGAAGAGTCAGGGGCTGTGCTCCTTGCTTTAACCTTCTCCAGGCCATGGCAGCAGATAACCTGCTGCTGTGGTGTAAAAGAGCAGCGGCCACATTCGTGTACTCCTTCCTGGGAACCCACCACAACATAACTTTAATGAGGGCACAAGGAAAACCTTACGGCTGGAACAAAGGTCTGAACACAAGAGAGACAGGGAGAGCCAACGCAACCCGCTGTTAGCACATAACGCTGGGCTGGCCATCATGTTCTGTAACAAGCCAACAACCACATCTCAGGGTCATAACTGATTAAAGGGCTGCAATTCAGAAGGGTTAGTGATCAGTTTTCTATGATAGCCACACGTGCAATGCCTTAATTCATTCAGCCTTCCTGACAATGACTCTACACAGGTAACTACTTATCCCCACCATTTCTACTTTAATCCCCTAATAAAATATATGAACACAAAGCATAGAGAGGAGAAGCCAAAAAATTGCCATTTTATGGTCCTGTACTATCATGCCAAAACAGCTATTTGTGCAACCAAATCCTTCTGCGAGCAGGGAGGAACTCTGGGCCTGTGCTTCTCTCTATATTTGCAGGAAGCACTGGGCTAGTTAACGTTTGAATTAAGCCCCCCCCCCCCCCCCCCCGATGGGCAAGTGAATATCTCCCTCCAAAGGACTTTAGGGAGTTATGCTGGAAGCAGGTGCCCATCACACAATGCAAAGTGTGGAAGGTGGCTGCAGGAACTGGAAAATGCCTCAGGCCACGTGACAGGCAGATAAAAGCAGCAACAGAGGCAAAAAAAGGACTTGGCTGAGGTGCCATGGTGCAATGGTTACAGAGAGTTGCAGTCCTGAGAAACTCATCTCAGCATGTCTCCTTTGATCCTTGTTGAAACATGAAGGTGATGTGATGGTGACCTGTGGGATCTACAGTTTGAAAGGGCTGACCCATGGAAACAGACACCTCATTGCTTGAGAAATGCTCTGAGCTCCTGAGCAAGGACTGTAGGAAAGGCTGAGTGTGTGCAGCCTGGCTGGAAGGCACAGACACTGACTCAGGAGGGTAAGCACAATGAAGACGTTATATGATACTGATGCTGAACTGCAAAATCCTGCTTTGGAAGTGTGAACCTTTAAAGAGATTGGGCCATGTGCTACAGGATTTACTTATACCATGGGATTTCTTTAAAGTTTTAACCACATTCTGCATTTGAAAAATAGACTCCTTGGTATTTTCTCCCAGCACAGTGTCGTTAGAGCTCCCCTCATCCTTTCAGAAATGCGCTCATCTCACACAAAAGAAACGAGGAACTGGGGACTGGAAGCTTTGTGCTTCCAGTCTTTTGAAATACTCCCCCTCATCACTGCTGTATGATGAGAAATTGAGAGGAGTTCTAACTGAGGAACACTCTCTTCCTAGGGGAGTTGACAAGTTAATCAGCGCTTCTGCACTAGGAGGCAGAAATGCTCAGTAAACAAGCTTGCTCAGTCTCTTTCTGTTCGTTGTCAGATAGGGCCAATAGTCCTGTTTTAGGAAGAGGGAAAACATCTTTCATAGTTGCCTGAAGCCAGCTCCTGAATAAAGCCCAGGAGTCCTGAATGCTTGTTCTTACGCTTATGCTGTGCATGACATCATGACTTGTACTGCACAGAAAAATACCCATGGTGTTAAGGGGCCTTTTCATCACTGAGAGAGATGAGACTTCTTAAAGAATCAGGTCATGATGTGTAAATATGAGGCAGGAGATCTGTACCTCAGGGTGGAGGCATGGTTCTTTCTTGTAGCCCAGGGAATTCTGATAGGAAATTCAAAACTGCCCTAACTTTTTCCCTCCACCAGTCTCTAAAGCAAGTGCTGGTGTAATGCAGGCAGTCTTTCTGGCTGAGCAGAAAAGGACACAGTTGTTCTTGTGTCAAAGATCTTGTGGCATCAGAGAATGAAGCCAGGTCATCCACCATCTGTGTCCCATGTATTCTGAAGCCAGCAGTGTAAAGATGAGCAGGAAAGGACATGTCTCCTAATTCCAGACATCATTTTGTGTTGAAAACAATCTGTTGGTGAGCTGGCAATTCAGTCCAGAAAGGAAATGTAATGCCAGGTTTCCTGACACAATTGGTCCTGATGTGGGACAGCTCTAACAAACCTTGGTTGGTTCACAGGTGGGGAGAGATGTGATAAATAAAGGTTTCCTCCTGTGGCTTTTTTTTTTTTCCAGCTGAATCTGCTCATTATCCTTCTGTTGCTTAAAACTCCCTTGAAGTCTGACATCACAAGGTTAACAAATCTCTCCCACAAGCACCAGGAGATGCAGTGTCAAAAGAATATCAACAGCCAAGCTCTGTAAAAATATGCTTTCTTCTACTAGCTTTTTCGGCACTGACCTTCAGTTCCTGTCTTAGCAAGTTTCATTTTTTCTTAGTTGAACAAAGTTGGAGACTTTTGGAAACAAATGGGTCTCACAGGAATTAAGTATAAGCTGAAGTCGGTATAACTGAATTCATGAGTATGGCATTCTCAGTCAAAGACTGAATCCCCTCAGAGCATGGATGGATTGTAGATCAAATGTGATGTGTTTGGAGATAATGTGGTGCCAAAGGAAGACTGCATTGGATACGTGACACAACAGTTCTAGCTAGTACTGACTCACAGTGAAATGCCACCTATTCGCCCTCTTTGCAAGTGAATGAATTGTGTTGTGTTAGTCCTAGCTAGAGCTGCCCTAAGAAAGGATGCCCTATTCTGTTGCCATTTGTGCCTCTGTTGTGGTACAATTTTGGTTACACAGATCAAATCATGCTTAGTGAATGAACTATGAACTGACCTCAGGTAAAACCCCTTGACACCTCTTGGTCTTGCAGGTAGGATTAACTGTAGCCCAACTTTCTGTTCTGGAACTAACACCTTACGAAATATCTCTGGTGCCTACAAATCCCCCAGAATGGTCTCTCGACCCTTCTGCATTCACTTTTCAGACCAGTCAGTTCTGTCAGGCATTGCCTGGCACTTTGAGCAACTTGTTTTTTGTTTAACAATAGTTTAAAATAACTTATCAATCTATCATAAAATGAATTTTTGGGTTTCTCCTGGCTCCATGAACACAAAGAGGTGCACGTCCTACCATAGGAGGAAGCAATGGCTGTTAAGTTTTACAGTTATAGTGGAAAGCACTGATCACAGCCTGCCGGCCTCACTACTGGATGTGACAGGCAGTGGAGGAGGTGGCTTGGCAACACATGCAGGTAGGATTGACCGATTTAGGGGGGATTAGGTCAAGGTCCTCATCATCTGGGATCTCATCTAACCGGTACCCATCCTTCAGCAGCTGGATGTTCAAGTCTTGGTTGATCTGCTACAGACAAAGAGACAAACAGTCAAACACTTGCAACATATTTCTTCTGATAGGTTGGATGAGGAAGCAGGTCTCTTATTCTGGAATATATTTCCCATATATAGTATGTTAAATATATATGATATTTCCCGTCTATGAAATAGGAAACAACAATAATCCAACTGGGAACTGGGCAGTCTAACCACTTAGTCTGGGGCATTAAAGCAGCTGAAAGGTGGTCAAGCCACTTGGCTCTTTGTAATCTAAGACTGAAGGGCAATCTAGCCAGCTCTGAAGGAGCAACCCTTCGAGACAGAGCCCTCTAATAGCCCAGACAATTATATATGGTGTATACTCTTGGACACTTCTAAATGCTTCAGTGGTATTTTTCCCCCAGGAAAAAGGGGTACAAGGGACACAAGGGGGATGAGTTTTCAGTGGCTCACGTGCAGAATGGCTGCTCAGCTCTTTGGATATAAAATCAGATCCTACAGAAGCAGCAGCGAGAGGCTGAGCAACTAATTCACTGGAGAGCTTTGGAATATATTTAGAAACAATACAATGGATTAACAAGCCCAAAACTTCCTGCCTTTTCTCTTTAAGAGGACAAGAGATCATATTTTTAAGTCCTCCCTGGAATTTCTGCTTGCACCAAGCAAACACCCATTAGGCAATCCTGGCCCCCATAAGGACTGGAAATAGCAGTGCACTCTCAGGTCCTTTACTTGTGTTCTTGGCAAGCAAACAGTTGCTGAACTGCCATGACAGACAAGTTGATGCTTTTGTACTACATGGGGCAACACTGTGGACTCAGCAGAACTGGGAAAAGCTTCAGTGAAACAATGGGTCAAAAGGGCTGATTAGGCAGACCTGTGTCTGTGCCATGCCAGTGTGAGGATGGAGCCAGCTAGACCACTGAGAAGAAAGAAGCATGGCACAGTTTCTGCCAAGGGCCCTTCCAAAGTTTACACCACCGGTAAATACCTTGTGTAGCCATTTTTGGCTTCAAAAGGCCACTCTAGACTGTTTCTTGTTGCTCTACTATCAGCATTAATGACAAGGATGGCAGGAGAGAGTGTAACTCACCTCAGCTGATGAGTATCCCGAGGAGGAATATCTGGACATGTCAAAGTCATCATCACTGCAGGGGAGGACAAGACAGAGCAAAGAAAGAAACAGTCAGAGAGCCCTGTATTCCCCAGTTAGTCCTCCCTAGTGCTGTGAAGCTGTCCTTTAGGCACAGAGAAATTATATCAAGGGAGCCTGGAGGGCAACTTTCATTTGTGAACCTCAGACATTTCCAAAAAAGTGCTCTTTACTCTTGCCTTTTTCTGCTTGTTTACACACACATAGACCAGTTATGAAATCTGTCGTGAAAGCTTGCTTGCACTGTAATGCATATTATCTTATTAACACCTTGCATACCTGTCTGTATCCAGGGCTACCAGTGGCTTTTCATCTGGACTCTGATCTAATGACGAATAGCCCTTGTTGGGAACGACGAGCCTGAAAAATTAAAGGATGTCCATTAACCACACAGTACAGCTCAGTAACACACATGGTTGTATCGAAGCCATATGACAAGTGAGACTTCCCCATTTCATTGCTTTGCACTGGACGTACCTTGGGAACATGCTCTTCTCTGGAAGACAGAACTTCTTGGGAAACTCTAGGTGTCATTCTGATCAACCTCTTCACCTAACACTGCCTGCCTTTTCAGATTTTTTTTCCATAGCAATGAGTACATGGCCCTTGCAATAAGTAAATGGGAGAAGTAGACCAGGGAAAGCCAGGGGCTTTCTACTACTACTATTCTACCACTGGAAATCAAGGACTTGGTTTTTCTGCCTGAGTCCCTACCCATCCTGCATAATACAGCACTTCTAAGGTGTCACTCTTAAATTCAATAAGTAATCTGATAAACTCGAGCTAGTGGGCACAGCACAGGAGTTGAGATGGACTAGCACTTCTTAAATCCCATTATTCTATGGTGCCTTTCAGTTCATCCTAAGTGTTACAATGGCTGGTGATGACTTTGCACCTTTAATTGCCTGAGGGAGTCTGTGTAAAGGAATATAGACTTCAGAGCATCTAAGATAAGGAAAATACATTATTCAATGGTATCCAGTTCACAACAGAGTTCTTTCATCCACAAAACTGCACAAGGACTTGAGATCGTATTTAAAATAAGATCAACCAGACTGAGCAAATGGAGCAAGATACTATGTTTAGCAGGTGTGAACTCAAGAGTGTGATGAAAATCTCTTTGCTCAGTGGGTTAAAGCAGATTCTCTCCCAAATGAATGACTAGCCTTTAACAAGGGACTAAGACTTTGAGAAAGTCTAGAAACAATAATATGTCTCATTCATGCTTCAACTACTCTATTGCAGCTGCAATGTTCTTCTGCTCAGAAGAGCTCAGGAAGCCATTATGATTTTAACAATCTAAAGGCATTGAAGATAGGAAAGAATGGGGGATAGTAAAATATTTCAAATGTTATCACAAAGCAGATGTATATGCTCATGACTGGTTGCATTTTCTTACTGTATTCATTGAAACTAAAGTCTAACTAAATTAATTTTAAAACCGATGTAGAATTTCCAACCTGCTGCAAAAAATGGGACCCACTTGCAAAATTCAATAACCCTTCCCATAGCCTTTAGAGAGTCCTTCTACTCCCTGCAAAGTAGGAAAGAATTAAAGAAGCAAAGATGTCTGAAACGAAAACAGAAGCTGTGAGCTAGCAGCAGCAGCTTGCCTACACTGATTCCAGAAGCACTCACTTCCATACTTGCTCTTCAGTTTTCAAGCTTCTGCTCCATACACAGTCACTGACAGTTGTTACTGTATTGTGAATGAATGAAGCACCATTGGGGAACAAAGAGAACAGCCCTTTGTGGTGTTATTTACTTGATTTAAATAACTCACTACGTCTTTTTCTTGAGAAACGTCTTTTTTTTTCTTAGTACAACTACAAGAACTACAGCTTTTTTATAGCAGATTGAAACTGTCATGTTTCCGTCTCTGATTTAAGTTTTTTCTTCACATCCCAATTGACCTTACTTTTGCTTTTCAGTGTCCTTGGAACAAGCCTGGTCTGTGGTTATACTTAATTTCATCTGTGGACATTGGCTTTTTGTTTTGCTTTTTGTCCCTTAACATGAAATAAATCACAACAACATGTAAGTTTAGCTTATCCTCAGAGGAGACTACAGTACCTGTGTAGAAGAGGTGCAGATGATGTTGTGAGTTCTGCCAGTGCTTGTAATGACAGTGCCAGCATCACACAACTTTGCTCACATTTTATTTGATGTTAGGAAGGCTGAGCATGCTATGGATCTAATCATTTCACCTCTAAAGCTAGTTGTCCCGACAGCTCACAGAATCACAGAATCATAGAATTGTAGGGGTTGGAAGGGACCTCCAGAGATCATCGAGTCCAACCCCCCTGCCAAAGCAGGTTCCCTACAGCAGGTCACACAGGTTGGCATCCAGGCAGGTCTGGAACATCTCCAGAGAAGGAGACTCCACCACCTCCCTGGGCAGCCTGTTCCAGTGCTCCGTCACCTCACTGTAAAGAAGTTCTTGCGCACATTTGTGCAGAACTTCCTATGCTGCAGTTTCCTTTTCCCTTGTCCTGTCTCCACTCACCACTGAAAAGAGTCCGGCCTCGCCATTCTGCCCCCCACACCTCAGATATTTATAGACCTGAATCAGGTCCCCCCTCAGTCTTCTTTTCTCAAGGCTGAACAGACCCAGTTCACTCAGCCTTTCCTCATAGCAGAGATGCTCCAGGCCCTTCACCATCTTTGTGGCCCTCCGCTGGACTCTTTCCAAGAGATCCCTGTCTTTTTTGTACTGGGGAGCCCAGAACTGGACGCAGTACTCCAGATGAGGCCTCACCAGGGCAGAGTAGAGGGGGAGGATCACCTCCCTTGACCTGCTGGCCACGCTCTTTGCAATGCACCCCAGGATGCCATTGGCCCTCTTGGCCACAAGGGCACACTGCTGGCTCATGGCCAACCTGTCATCCACCAGGACACCCAGGTCCTTCTCTGCAGAGCTCCTCTCCAGCAGCTCATCCCCCAGCCTGTACTGGTGCATGCAATTATTCCTCCTTAGATGCAAGACTCTACACTTGCTTTTGTTAAACCTCATCCGGTTTTTTTCTGCCCAGCTCTCCAGCCTGTCCAGGTCTTGCTGAATGGCAGCACGGCCTTCAGGCGTGTCAGCCAATCCTCCCAACTTCGTATCATCAGCAAACTCGCTGAGGGTGGCCACTATCCCCTCATCAAGGTCATTGATGAAGATGTTGAATCTTCAGCTCGGGAGAAGACTGAATGGCAAAGGCAGCCTGGTACATGAGGCTGGATTTCAGAAATTCATAGAGGTAATACTGAAGAACAAAAGCATCAGAGAAGGAGAAGGAAGTGAGACAGGGATAAGGAGAGGCAACACACTTCACCTGAATGAAGGAAAACATTTGACAAGAAGAGCAGAATTGTTAAAAAGGGGAAAACGGCTTTAGCTTTTCCTCGCCCTGCAGAGACTGGAGGAAGCCACTGTTCAAACTTAAAGAACAATAACCTAGATGTTTTGCAGAATATCCCACTGGAGTCTCTCACACTGTACTGTAGTCTTGTGATCAAGCCTCTGGCATTTCTGCCTTCCTGGCTGCCCTGTCTATGACAGGACAGAGCAAACCATTCTGAGGTATTAGGAGAACTGTGCCAATGTGCTCTTTGTTCCCAGAAAGCTAAAGGAGCTGGGGGATGAGGAACCATGGGCCATCAAGAACCTAAGCCAGACACCTCTCAGTTGTATAGGAACAATGGAGACTGCCTACATTTGCTACTAGCCTAAAGGCTGCAAACTTCCATTTTGCAGATCCTAAGGAAGATTCTAAAAGCTGTCTGAAAAGCAACTAAGAAATGCAAGTCTATTGATAGCAGGCTTAGTTTGGCGTAGGGGTTTGCATACCCTCTAAACAGTGCTCAGATTTTCACAGATGTAATAAAGCTGAGCTGGCTGTTCTAAAGCTTTTGTCAATGGGTGCCACTGCTTAACCCTTTCCCACCCAAATCACTCCTCCTTTTCCTGGCAGCTCTAAAGCAGCAGCCTCTCCAGTGAGAAGTCTCTCATTTTACAGGTAGGCATCAGCACTAGTTCCTTGTTCTCTTCCTTATTATCTTCTCCCACTAATTTCAGTGTTTCTAAATCTCCTGTGCAGCAAATCTTCTACAATTGCTCTTGAGAAGCCATCACACAGCCTACTGCCAAAAGAATCCAAGTCTTCACAGATTGCATTTGGAAACCAATGAGGAGCAGTAGGCATGGAAAACCCATCTGAAAGCACTTGCTGAAATTCTTACTGCCACTAAGAACCTGACTCCTTTACACGGTCTCAAAAACCAAATGCAAAACAGTGAGCAGTGCAGTATCTTTCACCAGTGTCACAGGGGCTTACAGATAAAACTTGACAAGGTCTTGGCATGATTTATGAGTACTGCTGTGGGCTTTGGGAACTAATTTGAAACTGATCTGTTGGATGTGCTGCATAGAGAGGCTCTGACCTGCCGCTCCTATTCTACTTAGTATGCAGTAATCCATGACACCTTCTCATTCATCATTAAAAATGCAGCCTTCATGTTGTATTCGTTCAGCTCAGACAGAGTTGATTTTCTTCATACTGTGTGGTATGATGCTATGTGTGGGATGTAGGAGAAAAATAATGTTAATCACACACCGACGTTGTAGTAGTTGCTGAACGGTGTAGGACAGAGCCATGGACATTTCAGCTTCTCTGCTTCTCATACTGAACTGCCAGTGAGGGGGGCTGTGGCACAGGGAGCTGGAAGGGGACAGAACTAGGACAAAGGGATATTCCATACCACATCATGTTATGCAAAAAAGCAAAACCAAATAACCACAAAACTGACGGCAGTTGGTCAAGGGAGATACCACTGCCTGGAGACTGGGCAACAATCAGTGAGCGGAGAGCAATTGGTTTGTGTATCACTTCTTCTGTATGAGTATGCATATATGTATGTTAGTACCATTCCTGTTATTTCCTTCTTCCTTTTCTGTCTTAGTCAATAGTGTTTATTCCAGCCTTTTTCCAATTCTCTCCCTCATCCCACTAGGAGGGGGGCAAATGAGCAAGTGGCTGTGTAGTGTTCAGCTGCTTGCTGGGTTAAACCAGAACATGTGTAGATTCTGCTGTCATTTTAAGTGTGATCCTTCACTAAAAATTACCACCTTTCTCGTAGCATGCAAAATGTGCAATTCTGTTGACTCAGTATGGTTCCTGCCCCCTGAATGCAGATAAGTGATACATTATTATAATGAAGCCTGCATGGAAAAAACAGAAATACACTAAAATCATGTATTCATCTAAAAAATTCTTTGTTTACAGTGGATTGTAGGATTGCCTGATTATGTCACACAGAGATGAGCCAAAATGGCTCCTGCTCTGACCATGCTGTTCAAAGTGTGGAGGAGCTGTACAGCAAAGCACACAGAGATGGATGCTACACAAGTCATCATTAAGTTAATCGGTATGAGGAAGGGGTCATTTTCAAAAAAGAAGAAGGAGAATTTCTGGGATAAAAGCAGCCAAGTCAGAACTAAGCTTTAACACAGTTTGCTGTTATGTGAAGCAGAAATGTACACTTTCCTGCTGGTATGATTATTTATTACGCAGGGTTGCCCAGAGCATTGAAGACATATAAAACCCCTGATTTTTACCAGGCTAGGCTCACTGCTGTCTGCAGGCTCTATTATCACTGGTCCTCAACTCAGTGATAATAATCTGTGCCTGGATCTTCCCATGGGACAAAATGCAACACAGAACAGAGCATTTTGAAAGGGCTATTGCTGCTCCTGCAGTCTGTTTGGCAACAGGGGAATAACAATCTTAAGGTCATTAGGAATTAATGCTCAGAGCACAGATGAGTTTTCCAGTTCTTACCTTGTCCGTGCCATCACATTGTTCTTCTTGGGCTGCTGATTAACTGGGCTTCCCATGTTGCCATTCTTCAGAGAGCCCTTCCGAGCCAGCTCCCTCTGCTTCTCTGCATGTGGGACAGACAGGAGAGAAGCAAAATTAGGGCAACAGCCTGGGTGGTCTCCATACAGCTACAGAAATCCAGATTTGATAGTAGCAAAAAGCATGGTGGAATTAATAGCATAGGACATGAGCACTCCATCTCCCAGGCAGTGATACTGTGAAGGCTGGAGAAGCTGTGTTCCAAGCTCACCAGGGGCTAAAGGTAGTATGCCCAGACACACAGCAGCTTGCTGGCAATGCCACATAAAGATGGTTGTGGAGCTTCAGGATGAGATCCAGCACAAATCTTGCCTCTCTGCAGCTATGGACTCTAAAACAGTAGTGCGGGCTGGGCAAGGAATTTATTCTCTTACATTTTCTCCTCTACAAACTGCTACTGAGGGACCCAGCTGGGTCAGAAAAGTGCCTCCATCAATCCAGAACCATGTTCTTTTTAATTCTAGTCCAGCCAGGCTTGACAGCAGAGTTATTACTTCCCAGGAAGGCAACTCAACAGAATAACATCCTACAGAAGAAATGTTGCTGCCTTCTCTGCTTCTCCTCATAACTGCCCGTGTTGTCCCCATTGTGTCCTCTTTTATCTCACACTGAATCTTGAAGCTTTGTTTAAGGAGAAAAAAGTGAAAGCTTCTTTAGCTACATTTTTAAACAGCATATTTCTGCTCAATTTTCAGAGCATGTTCTGTTTGCTGCTGAAATGTACCTTAAATCTCTTACAGAGCATGGAGCTTTCTTTGTGTATTCATTGCAAGAGAGGATTAAACAGTTTCTCATATAGGAAACTATTTCCATTCTTAACATCTTCTAACCAAAGGATTTTAACTAGAGTTCAGGTGAAGAAGCTAAGCCTTTGCAGGAAAGTAGTGCTTGTGCTATATAAATATGTTGCTGCTACCAGGATAGGAGGGATAGGAGCTCATGTGTGATGGGTTGTCATATAAATCAATATTCAAATTTCTGATTCAAAGTTCTTCCTTGCTTCTTTTGGCAAGTTGGGTTGAGTCAGCAATCAGCCACAAAACTGAGACTCATCCTGCAGTGCTAGGCAAGGCTTGTATGGAAATGAAGACTGTGGGACCAGCGAGGCAGGACCTGGCTAAAAGTGTTCTCTGGAGTGTGAGAAAATGTTGGAAACTACTTTTGTGTGATGCCTGAATAATAGGGGTTTATCAGACTGCTGGCTGGGGAACTTGAACAGTGAATTCGTCTTGCTTCTGCTTCCCCTGTGGTGTGTGAAATGTGTTGATATACTTTTTTCTCTTGCAGATTTTATTCCCCTTGGAGAGGAAAGCACCTGCTACTTGTTGTGGGAAAGCTGCGTGCCATGAGGGTGTGCAGTGCACAGTGGCACAACTCCATTCTATTCATGAGGAAGGAGGAGGGAGACAGGTGTACAAGGCTGCCTTTTTTGAGGGACAAGCAAGAAGAGATGCCTCTAAACTGTGGTAATGAGCACAGATGAGGAAATGGTAGAGGAGAGCACATGGCCACACACCATACTCAGCCCTGCTCCTGCTGACATCAGAGGTGAATAAAAGCTCACTGAAGTTGGCAGGGGAAGGACCAGACCAATAACTCTCTCTGGCATGAGCAACAAAGAGACTGATATGGGATCGAAGGCAAAACCTTAAATCACAGTAATTTCTCATGACTGGAACTTGCAAATGCACTGGTTGTCATTGTCTCCAGAAAAAAAGGCTGACATTTTGCAGGCCATGTGAATGTTGCTATTCAGACATAGAAGGATAAAGCACGGTTTTATCGAGGCAAAGGTTTACAACCCTAAATACAAAACAACTTCCCCCCATTTACATCAGAAGCTGCAGTGCTGACCACAAATCCGCAGTGCTGAGACAAGTTGCCAGTACTTCAAGGTGCTGTGTAATTCACAAAAAGCTCCTGACTCACAAAGATTTCATTCTCTCAAGATAGTTAAGGCCTGACTGAGCCTTTTAAATGTACTGGCACTCTCTGATTTCTATTGATTATTCCATACAAGCACTAATGCTCTTTTCCGATTCAGATTGCTCATTCGGTTGATGAATCTGGACTTTAGTTAAGTATCTTCTTCCTCCTATAAGTCTCCCCATGGCTACTTCTATGCTCTTATTGAGTGCTAATTCAATGTGAGGGTCTGACTGATAATAAATTTCCTATTTAACCCCTTTTCTCACCTACTTATTAGCTTGGAGTGAACATTCCCAAAGGCCACTGCAGCGCAATATGTGCCACTGTCACATTCACACCCAGACACATTTCTAGGCATGAATCGACATTTCAGTCCCCTCTTGGATGCTGTGAAACCTGAGTGGCCAAGAACCAAGAGATGGCAGGGAGAATGGGAAGTCTGTCCAGCCCAGGGGTGATAGCAAAAGCCTCTAGAAGGTGACGGAGATGCATGAATCCCTTTAGACTCTGAGGCAAGGAGACCTGCTACTGAGTCTTACAAGTATTATGAACCATCGCTCAAAGAAGCAGTTTTGGTGCCAATCTGCTGAAGAAACCCTGGACAGTGCTGACCATCTACCACCAGATCCATCAGGATGGTGGGTTTTCAGTGCCTATTGTCTGTTTGGTGTTTCTTCCTGGCCTAGCAGGTGAAGCCGATGAACCCAGTTTCTAGATAGCGAGCTCTTTTCCAAGTTTTCCAGCTCATCTGGCTTTGGCTCCCATATGTTTGTTTGAAGGCATTGGATCCAAACACTACATGTCAAAATTCCTTTCAGAAAAACAGTTGACACAGCCAGTTCTGACAACATTACTTTCAGGATCCAAAATGTTAACAAAAAAGTATAAATTCACAAATAAAGTATTTCTCATAGAAGCTTTCAAATGCATGTATCAGCATAGTAAAGAGAAGGTGAGAGAAGGAACAACAAGCTAAGTTTGAGAAGCAAACAACATTTTTCTTTAAAGGCTGCCCCATATTGGCTGACGATGAGCACAAATCACAGCATCACCACGCTCGAGTTACCCAGCTGTGCTAACCCCTGTGTGAAACCTGGGAAGTCAGTCCTTGGGCAATTCTCATGGTTAGGACTACATACAAACTGAAAGTGTTTGCAGAATCCAAGACTCTCTGGTGTGATACTTAGGTATTCCCCACTGGTCTTAAATGACGCCTGTGCTCCTGTATGGCTCCCTAAGCCTTGAGGCCTCAGCTTCAGACATGAGGGGCACAGTCCAACCACAGAGAATAGGTTTAGTTTGTCCTCCACCTTTGGCAACTTTTGGAACCAGACACGCTAAGGCTCTCCATGGCCAGGTCTGCCTGTGCTGCCCGCTGTATTCCAACATGTGCACAAAACTTCCATGAAGCAGTAGACTTGAGGGAAAATTGATACCAGCACTGCAAAATCACCTAATTCTGGGCAACCTGAAGGCACTAGAAGAATGAGGAACAGTGGTTAACAGGCACTGCTGCCCAATAGCAAGAAAATAGTACACAGGAGAACAAATGAAGGAATGGAAGACTGTGATTTCCAGACACCAGCTATTTCATGCCTGATGAGTTTGCTGTTGGATGGTCAGCAAAAAGCTAATACAGCAGAGATACAGCAGAGGTGAGTGACAGAGACTTGGAGACTGGGAAACCAGAATGAAACAAGGCTGCTTTCCAGCTATTTCAGGTAAATGACTAACTGTTGGCAGTAAAAGGCAGTGTAATAGCAGGGCTCCAAGAATGCTTTCACCGTTTGCAAGCATTTGAAATGGGTTGTTTAGGTTTCATTACATTTAGCTGTTTTTATTTTCTTACCATTGTATCTAGTTAAATATTCACACCCACGTGTTTTGCCATATCCCTTCCACTAAGTGGATGGTGACTGTGACTGTAGGTGACTGTGCACACTGTGAGTAAATGCGACAGCTTGAAGATCCAGCAGGCAAGCAGTCCCAGCAGAGCCGGTACAGCTGAGGGTGAGACAGCTTTATCCAAATCCAAGTCTGTTTTCCTGAGAGGCACTTTCTGCGCAGGGAAGAGCAGAAGAGGTTGGGAGGATATAAAGTAGCCTGCACTGCCTTTGACATTAAAAAGCATGCTGAATAGGAGCCTGCAGGCTCTGTCTGGTCATGAGCAGCATTGCTGTGTTGGGTATTGGGTAGTCTACCTGGCTCTAGGCTTGAATGGAGCCAAACTTCTGTTTCAGTGGAGAGTTCACAGAACACAGCTGATGCACTGGACAATTTGGCTGCACCACTTCTACCTAAGCTAATTCTGGAGATTGTGCTGGAAGAACCTGTGGAGAAGTGCACATGCAAGGGTGTGCAAAGGTGGGGACAGGTCCAGGATCCTACTGACACAGCCGCAGCTCTGAACAGCAGAGGGACTGTTTTTTATCTTGACACATCTCACTTTCTTGAGCATGGCTTCATTCCACTTTAAGACACTTTGTCCCCCACTGACATTAAAATCATCCAACAAAACAAAGTAGATCTGCTCAATGAGCAAGCTGTGCCTTTGTGCTAGCCTCACATCGCCCTGCTCTGCCTCCTGACCCCTCTGAGCCACGCAGCATCTGCTCCACGGCAGCTTCAAGGAAAGCTCTGCTGATGGCCAGGCTCCAAAGAATAATTACAAGCAATGTTGTATTACTCACTGCAATTTAAAACTGTTATTTGTTCAGCTGGCTGCATGTGTCTAGCTTCTTTGTGACAAGGGAAGATGGCATTGGGTACAGGAAGCATGCTCATGTGGAACTTTAGACTTGAGTAAATCCTTACAGTCATTCCTCTGGTTTTAGACTTCAGACAAAACCAAAACTAGTTCTAATTTTCCTGCTGTTTGTTTTTAAATAAAATGCTGAACAGCTTCTTTAGTACATGTTGCCATGCGTGGTATGGGTTTTGTCACCCTGTCCTAACCAGAAGAGGTAAGAATAGCATGTATTTTGGTCTACAAAAGAAGAACTGCTGCTTTTGTAGCATTGGGCAAAGCAGACAGACCAGGAATTTGGTGAACATCAGCTTGTGCTATTCTGAAGAGTGAGTTATTTGGATGCTTCA